TATGTGGAGGTCCTTTTCGGTCATATAGCTCTCCAACTGTTTCGGTTCGTATACATCCCTGGCCTTTAAATATTTGGCTCAGAGCGTTCCTGATGAAGGTATCCAGAAAAGTGCTTCGAACGCATGAAATTTATAGCGTGTTGTTTTAATTTTTTAATATGCATAATATACCATTTGTCATAATGTAAGACCATGGAGATAATTTCTTAATGTAAGATCATTAGGGTATTGATAGACCATGGGAGGATTATTGATGTCATAATATACCATTTGTCATAATGTAAGACCATGGGGATAGTATAATAATGAAAGACCATGGGGATAGTATAATAATGAAAGACCATGGGGTATTGTCGATACGACTTATATACCAATTGTTATAATGTAAGACCTTGAAGATATGTAAGACCATTGGGGTATTGTAATATTGACAGAACTTTGGGATATTGTTGATGTCAAAATATACCATTTTGTTCATAATTTAAGACCATGGGGGTATTGTTGATATGCATAATATACCAATTGTTATAATGTAAATCCATGGGATAATTGCATTTTCTAAATATACGGGAAAAAAAAATCATTTCCTAAAATTACTTGTATGCAGTTCAACAATAATGATGTAAATATAGTATGCAATCTGGCTATCCATATCTATACTGTGACAGAATAGAACCAGGAGAAAGTTTTCTAATGTGATTTATTCACTCACTGAAACGGAATGAATATATAAGAATTAAAAAAAAATCATGGCAAACTTCCTTTAGAACCATGAGAATAGTCTGGTTGGCTGTTTTAGTTCATTGAAAATCATCAAGATAAGGGGCAGCATAAGATTTGGTGGGATCAGGTTAACATTAGGCTGAATGCTGAATACGAATGACTTGGGTAAAAATCAAAGGGTATTTTTATATCTTTCTCTAACATAAACATTGTCATGATTTTGCCTGTTTGTCAGTATTTCATATAGCCGAGTATTTATTCGATGTCTTATACAAATATTTGAGAATGAACAATTTTGTACATATTTACCCCTATAACTGATTTTAATAGATAAAGTGGAGATTTTGTTTCATTTTAGCCCCGAGCATTACTGAGGAGACATTTATTATGGAATTGCGCATTATTTGGTGCAAAAAAACAATTTGTACCGTTAATGTTATTACCTGTAAATTATTTATGTTCGTTTTGTAGTTCAGATCTTATCATGAATGGACGGAAAGATTATTGCTCTGTTGTTCAGCTCATGCATTTGTAGAGAGAGAAAAAGATGGACAATACATTTTTAAAATTATTGATAAGTGTTGCATGGAATAGATAGAAATCCGAATTAGGGCCATACAAGTTCATGCAATTTGCAGAAATATAAATGTTGAAGTTATACATTTATTTTTTCCTTAAACATTTCATTTTCATATGCAGTTAAAGAAAATCATAAAAAATACAAGTCTTTTAATTTTGTTAGCCAGACGCTCGTTTCATCTACAACAGACTCATCAGTGGTTCTCGAATCAAAAACGTTTAAAGTCAAAATAAAGTGGAGCCTATCTACACACAAGCACTATAAAAGCAAAGCACATAACAGCATGCAGCATTGTGAAAGCACAACTAATATCATAGACACACAAAAAAACATAGCAAATATATAAACAGCAATAACAAGCAAGATTAAAATCCAGCTAAATGGTAGAAAATCAAGACACAAACCAAACACTTGTTAATTTTAGTAGGGATGAAAAATCAAATTGTCTGTTATGTATCACTGGTTGGAATTTGCATGCATTATATTTAGAATTTTGACCCCACACCAACTGTTTATATAATTTTTAAGCTATTCAAAATGATGTCATGACGCTTGCCTCGATTGAAAACTATTTCAATACGCTTTTTATTTAATATGGTGCTTTTGTTTCGATTGTTGTAAACTGGTTTTTGTCCTGCCTATGACAAAAATCACAGAATGCAAGACATGGGGATTCAATTAAACTATTTGAAAAAACTTTATATTGCAGAAGGTGGAAAATCTGAATGTCTTTTACCTTGTGTATACATGCCTTATGTAAGGAAGTTTCCGTCTTTCATATGTCTAGTATCCTTGATCTCATTTTCATGTGTCAGCAAATTTAAAATTAAAACTAAATAGTTTTTTTTTCATGCAAATTTCTCACTCATTAGGAGTAATATGATAATATTATTTGGCGTAGCGGATCCTTCCAAGGTCTACATGTCCATCAAACAGAAATCATCTGACCTTAACCTCATTTTCCTAGTACAGAAATCAAGGCAAAATCTACGTGATTATGTCTGTTTCTCAGAAACTATAAGCAATAGGTCATCTAGGTTTGCTATGGTATGATTGTAAGGTGAACATATCTGTTTGGCAAGTTTCATCCGACCTTAATCTCGTTCTCATGGTTTATTGGTCAATGCTAAGTTTTTGTGTTTTTTTTCCTTTTTCAGATACTATTAACAATATCTATACAATATTTGGTTTATGGATTGAGTGTAAGGAGTTCTGACAGATATCATCTGACCTTGACCTCATTTTAATGGTTCATTGGTCAATGTAAAGTTTTTCTAGTTGTCTATTGCTCAGATGTTTTAAGCAATAAGTCAACTATATTTGGTGTATTAAATGATTGCACGGTGTACAACTCTTAAATTATTAGGTTAATTACCCAACAAAGGAATAATTGTATGTAGCAGCTTTTGTAGTCATTAACAGTTGTTTTTGCCAGGAAATGCAGTGAAAAGGTACACAAGCTGATATTCACTCAAGCAGGAAGCCATTATCATTTCAATGTTTCGATGATGATACCAAATGACACACATAGAAATCTTTCATATGGTACGAAATGGCATACATATATTTCTTCCTTAAAGTACGAATTTGCATGTATCTACCATATGGTATGAGATTCAGAGTACGAAATGGTTTTTGTAAGGACACGAAATTGTAAGTGTACGCAATGACCATAATTCGTAAGTCTGGCGGGTATCATCTGACCTTGACCCCATGTTCATGGTTCATTGTTCAATGTTAATTTCTTCGTGGTTTTTTCCGTTTCTCAGATACATCAACTTTATTTAGTATGCAGAATGATTGGAAGGTGAACATATCTGTCCTGCAGAGATCATCTGACCTTGACCTCATGTTCATTGTTCATTGGTCAATGAAATTTATTTAAGTGGTCAAGTTACTCAATTTTACAGATACTATAAGCAGTAGATCAACTATATTTAGTGTATAGAATGATTATAAGGTGTGCATGTCCGTTTGGCAGGGTTCATCTGACCTCGATCTCTTTAACATGGATCATTGATAATGTGAAGTGTATGTGATACTAGTAAAACCTTAATCTTAATGACAATCAACAAAAAATCATTCATGATCAATAAGGCAGGCGATACATTTAAGCGTGTGCACTCTTGTTTTCTGGATATTTAAAAAAATTCTTGTTTTCATGTCAGGTCAACGAAGTCCACACAAAACGGGAAATGGTGAAGTTTCCAATATAAAAGTAAGTTGCAAAATACGCAATATACATGTATGTTATTTTGTGTACCCTTTGTAAATCTACTGAATTAGAATTAAAAGTGGGAATGTTGAGATCTAAAACAACTAAATTTAACCAAGCTAAATGTTGTATCTGTCCCAAGACATTGAGGAATACCACATTATGTGATTTTATTCATACGCTATGGTTTAATTAGAAAAAAGTCAAGGTTAATGGTCTGTTACTGGAAACCAGGTTGATGATATGTTACTGGAAACATTCAATTACTATGACCAATACTGAAATGAAAGGTTATAGTAGCATTCAGTACTTAAGTTCGTACGAAGATTTTCCTTACTTCCTCTCATTGATTTTGGAACAGTTGTAGATAATAATAGTCAACTCGTATGCTACTAATTATGTAAGAATAGTAAAATTATAGTTGTGGTCACTTCGATATTCAATGAACAGAAATCAAGACAGGAATGATTAGCTGTAATTAAGTATTGTTGGTCCTTTGTCTGTGGATAATTCATCGAAACCCACCTGCTTTGGAGAAGTACCAAACCTTGAATAGAACTTTTGAAAATGAAAATTCATTTACTTTGCGTTCAAAAAGTATTACGTTTTATAGTTTATGTTAAATCAAATTACCAAAAAAATGCTGCATGGAATTCTTTCAAAATGTGAGATATGAAAAATACATACAACTTTAACTTTGTTTAAACCTGTTTATTTACTTTTGACCTTAATTATTTATCCCTTATAATTTTTATTAGCTATGTATTTGCATTCAGGTATCACAGATCAAATTTATTCGTTCATTGTGTGTTAATTTACGTTTTTTGATTGAGTTAAGCCTTCCAATTGATATTTTATAGTGTGTCTTTCTATGTTGTGATGTTATACTATTGTTTCAGAAAAGGGAGAAGGTTTGGTACCATTAAAACGTTTAATCCGGCTGTCGTCTGTTTATGTAGTTCATACGTGTTTCTCGTTTCTCGTTTTTATATAGATAAGACCGTTGGTTTTCCCGTTTGAATGGTTTTACACTAGTAATTTTTGGGGCCCTTTATAGCTTGCTGTACGGTGTGAGCCAATGCTCCGTGTTGAAGGCCGTACCTTGACCTATAATGGTTTACTTTTATAAATTGTTACTTGGATGGATAGTTGTCTCATTGGCACTCATACCACATCTTCCTATATCTATACAAAAAATGGCTAACAGTTAAACAACAATCATTACATATAAAAAAAAATTCTAAAGTGTCATCATGTCCAGCCTTTGCTTGTGTATGCATTAAATACTTTGAATACAAAGACAAAAGTATCTAATTACTTAAAGATCCACCATATCCTTTGTTTTTCTATTATAACAAGAAAATTATAAAAATAAATTTTGTAAATTTTCGAAGCATATTTAGTGGTTCTTTTCTCTTGAGTAAGCTTTCGTCGAAAAAATAGAAATTATACAAATACCTTTGGAGCAAAGAAACTTTAGAATAAAACAATAAGCAAATGTGTCCAAGGTAAACTTTACTTGAGAGATATTGAACCTTGTATTTTATTAAAATTACACAATTACAAATTCTAATCCATGAAATTATATGCAATAAATTTGTTTAGAGCCGAGGAACTGACTTCTGAGTGATACCTTTCGGGACTAATAATTCGCCACTTGTGTTATCAACTCATGTAGTATAAATTCATTATAAAGTGGTTGTTTTCAAAGCATTTTTTTAAATTGAACTTCATTTTGAAGTTTGTCATTAATTTGGCCTAACACATTCCTGAAAGGTTAGTTCTACTTTAGAATTGATTAAAAAAATACTCCAAAAACCAAAACAAGGAGATGTGGGGGTGTACATCATAGAGACACCAACCCAAAAACTCAATCAAACCAAAAAAGTAAAAATACAGAATTTGATATGGCTTAAACAATTTTACACCCGTTTCAACCCGAGACACTAAAATAATACCAAGAGCTCAACTCGATGGATTATAATGGTAGAGGGTTAACACGGAGTGGGATATTGAAAAAGACATACCATATATACGCTTTATTATATACTATATAATCAAGTGGATGTTTTTTTTTTTAATATAGATTAGTAGTTTGATAAAGTCTTTGCAACCGTGACTGATATCGATATTCCCACGAATAGCTGATACAGCACGATTGCCATTGATTGTACTACACACATATGTATATATATAGTTTGCTTGTATTTACTATACTAGCTGGGTGTAAAATAAATGAATTATATTGGATATTTTGTAATGTAACGATAAACTAGAATCGGTGGCACGAATCAGTGAAGATACAATTTAGTCAAAAGTCATGAGGCTGGGTAATATACCCCGGTATCCTCTATAATATTCGTCACATGAATGTTCAACATAGTCTTTAATTGCATTCACGATCGAACAAGCCTAGAATACTTGACGACATGAATGTTCAACATAGTCTTTAATTGCATTCACGATCGAACAAGCCTAGAATACTTGACGACCGTAACTTATATTCGTTCAAGGTCATTTGTCTTATATACCGATTGGCAGTCGTGTATATGCTCATTGTAAGAATTCAATCCTTGTTAATGTTAGTTAGAATGTACTTTCTTTGATAACCGATATAGTAGTTTTGCGATTGAAATGTGTACAGTGTTGCAGCGTCGGTAAGTATACAACATACTCAATACGATCAATCGTCTAGTCGATTGTTACACATGTACGCGAATTTTTTTTCTAATACTGGGTTAGTAACACTGGGTTAGTACCACAGCTAGTGTGATATCAGTCCCAGAAGGTACCATCAGCCCAGTAAACAGTGATTTAGTATTGGTATGAATTAAATGATACATTTTGTTTAATTTCCAGTTCATGAAATTATGTAATTATGCTAATTCTAAGGATGTAACTCCTTCAGATAATGTTCTCCTTAGACAATTTTGACTGTTCTATTTTGTCTCTTTGTGCTCTCAAATTATGTATTTTGATTTCCAAACTTTTGCTAACCTGATACCCAAAGTCACGGAATTCAAGTATTTTTTCCTTTATATTTAAGCTCAACTCTATGACTAAACGGTTTCATTGATTAACATATAATATAATGTTTAGTTTATATTTATGTTTTGGTCCATTAACAAAAAATAAAATTCATTAATTATACAACACTCAAATATCAAATATCCAATCAACCTTATTAAAAAACATTCACTCTAAACAACAAGACTGACTAACAACATCTGTAAGTCACACCATACAAACAAATTACAGGGGGAAAATATGTGTTCAGTTGTTGATTTTGACATATTTACAGTATTTTGACAAAAGCTCCACAAACAATAAAGAAAATATATTAAATGCAGTCATGAAGCTCTTTTACATCAATGTAAACATTTTAAAAACATCAGTCCTACGGTCTGTTCTCTTTCTACAACACAGCCATTGTGAAATGATTACATTTTAGCTCTCATAATAGTAAAGTAGTGATGTATTTTCATTAAAACTCTTCTCCGTATAAATTTCCCGCCATCTGCAGATATCTCTACATTGACTCCCATCTCTGACATGTTATCTTCTGCAGATAGTCCATGGCGGTAAAATTCATATAAAATCTGGATGAACTTAAATCCTCACTGTTAAAACACGTAACTCGATTATTCTATAATATTCATATGTTTTTTTTTCTCTTCCTCAAAAATAGTTCATCGTTGTTTTAGTCAAAATGTTATAATTCATCAATTGTTACAACATTGTTTGAAGGTCAGTAGTTCAACATTCATTTGTTTCTTCCTTCGTAACTTTTCTAAAAAATAAAGAGAAACAGATTACTATTGAAACACAGATGTAAGTTTTGGTTAAAGTATCAACCGAAGAATTAAGACAACATTCAATCAAATACATGATAACCATCACTGAGTAAAGGAGTAGATATATCAGTGCTGACCTCCTCTGCAAATTTTCTTAGAACCATTTTATAATTAGGACAGTATCACTACTGGTTGACCATTAGTCCTAAAGGATGGCATCTGAAAGATAGTCAGTACTTCAATTACCATGACTTTTACAGATATCTTGATTTATTCTCTTTTTTTTTTGCATTTATATTTTTTTACAAAAGCGTAATGTACAAGTCTCCTCTGAAAAATTGAGCTCACAATGTTTTTATGTCTGTTTCGGGTTTTTAGCCAAATAATATTTGCACATATAAATATACATAAACTTTTGTCTTTTAGAGTTATGGGTAAAAATCACAAAACTAACTTCGAACGTTGTAATTTATTTCGTTTGACTTTGATTGGCTGTCACCGTATTGATAGAAAGTTCCCACATAGAAGTATTTTTTTTCGGCACATGCTATTTTTAGTTACATATATTCTAATAAATTATCAGCAAACCATTTTTTATTTTCTATATTTTTTAAGGTTCGAAAATTTTAGCAATTAACGACCTTCTGGTGTTTAGGTTTTTTTTTCTGGACATCTGTTTTTCATATAAAAAATAAATAGACTAAATAAACAGAAAAACAGAGAAATTAATTATTTAATTATCAGCAGTGTATTATATCATTGATTTAATAATGGTATTTTGATACATCATATATCATTATACATACTCGTACACAGTTATTGAACCAAAGGAGTAAAACCAATTATTGTATTAAATCAAACGATAAATTTATTCTGTTTCTTCCATGTATCATGGTGTTAGCTAATCTAACAAATGCCCTTACATAACAATTTCACCATAATTATTCAGTCTTTGAATCTTTTCTTGGTTTAGCTCATGCACTGTTCGTTCTATACACACAGAATATGGTGAAAACACGCACTATACGGTTTCTTAGGACGGATATGGGAGCCCTACCATTGGAACCTGAAGCCCTATCATTGGAGTCCGGTGCTCTATCAGTGGTGCCAGAGCCAAAAACATTGCTCAATAGAGCACAGAGCTCATAATGTGGAGCCTGAAGTCCAATGATAAAATTATGATGGATCTTGGACCCCAGATCTCGCCTTATCCCCCAAATAGAAATCTATCGTCGTTGTCATGTTGCTCTTATTGACCGTATGTTCATTATTTTTTATTCAAATTAGTTTCTGTTAATTTTACACCATATATAATCATACTGCCTATTGATATCATATGATACTATTCTAGGTCTTTTCAAAATGTACTCGGATGGTTTAATAGCCTTAACCTTTTCAGAATGTACTGATGGTTTAATATCCTTAACCTTTTCAAAATGTACTGATGGTTTAATATCCTTAATATTTTTAGAATGTGCTAATGGATTGATATTCTTAACCTTTTCAGAATGTACTGATGGTTTAATATCCTTAACCTTTTCAAAATGTACTGATGGTTTAATATCCTTAACATTTTTAGAATGTGCTAATGGATTGATATTCTTAACCTTTTCAGAATGTACTAATGGTTTAATACCCCTAACCTTTTCATAATGTACTAATGGTTTAATATCCTTGACCTTTTCATAATGTACTGATGGTTTAATATCCTTAACCTTTTCATAATGTACTGATGGTTTAATATCCTTAACCTTTTCATAATGTACTGATGGTTTAATACCCCTTACCTTTCCAGAATATACTGATGGTTTAATATCCTTAACCTTTTCGTAATGTACTGATGGTTTAATATCCTTAACCTTTTCATAATGTACTGATGGTTTAATATCCTTAACCCTTTGATACTAGTAACAATCAATGTTCTTTGGCTATTAATACTGCTTTGTTTTTGTGTTTGTCTCTCTCCTATACGTTATATTTTATACCTTTATATACCAAGTTGATATAAACAATGTTTAGCGGTTTAGTTCCCAAACTTACGTATCAAAAACATTTGCCAATAACCAAATTGGTTACTGTATTGATTGAATCAAGCTGACAAAACTAGAAATATTACAATACAACTAATGCATGATTAAGAGATTATAACTTCGTACTTTTTACTGTAAGGAGCAAAAAAGAAGTTCCTTTGAATTTATAGTAATATCGTAATTTTTAGTGCCAATTCTATCCCTTTGTAAACATCCCCTATTTGGAGACTATCTAGTCTATGTTATGCCTTTGCGCATTTTCGTTGAAGATTTTGCTGGTGGTGCTTTGTTAAGTTTACAAATTCCATCGTTAACACGAATTAATAAGTACTTGTGTTTGCTCTGATGATGACGATGCTGTTTATGTCAGTTTTGTTCTCTCTCTCTCTCTCTCTCTCTCTCTCTCTCTCTCTCTCTCTCTCAATAAGTTGCTTGGTATAATTTATAATTACTTTTGTTTACTATGATGATGACGATGCTGTTTATGCCGGTGTTGTTTCTCGTTATCTATTAAGGCATCCTGTTGTGGGTGGCTATGACTATGGCTATGACTACTAGAATGTGACGATTGACGATTATGATGACTTCCAGAGGAAGTTGTCTGAAAAAACAACACAATAAACGAAATAAAATTCAATAATAATTATCAAATTCGTAGAAAACTTAATATACATATAGAATTAGCAAGAAATAAATATACCAAAAACTGGGGAAAAAAAATATATTACATGAATCTTATTTGTCATAGTAAATGCTTAAAACTTACTTTTTTATAAAAACGTATATAGCACAATCTAATTAAAACATAGACCTCTGATTTCGTTACCCTCACAAGAGGCTTATTTCGCTACCCTCATGAGAGGCCTCTTATGACGGGTAACGAAATCAGAGGTCTATATTTTAATTAGATTGGTATATATAGCACATAGGCATTTCTTATTGCTGCTTACAAAACTTGCCCTGGGTTTTGGACAGTTCTTATAATATTATAAGTTCTCTGTTCTTTGAATGATTTTGGTATTTCAAGTCAGCGTAGGCTGATGTTTAAAAGCCAGAACTTTGTACACAGTCTGTGACTTAAGAATTATCTTTCTCATAAACAGACAGAAATTTATTTTTTTTATCACTACATGTCATGATTTTTTTTCAAAGTTTAGATCTTTTACCATGCAACTACTACATAACTATTGACATTTGTTCTACTAGTTTGTTTCTCATAGGGTTTGGAAAGGTCAAACTCCCACAATCGCCAGTTTCAAAGTCATCAAATTTAGAAGAAAAAATATTTTAATAATGATAAGGTTGCATCGTGATTACGAAACGCGTGTCTGGCTTATTAGATTATAAGCATGGTTTCGTTTATGGGGTCTTTTTTTAGATGTAATGTGATGAAATGTAACTTTGATCAAAATAGCTAATCCAGACATGCTATAAAAATATATGAAACAAGGATATTTTTTTGTCAATTCTAAAAATCCTCAAGGGTAAACCTCTTCACACCTGCAACATAAGGGGACGAGCATTTGATATTTTCTGACGGACTATTAATTTTCACTGCATTTTGTGTTCCAGAATATTCATATTTACCAAGTCTTGGGCTTAATAATTAATTTTCAGATCTTACCAGACCAGAATACTGATTCCTTTCCAAAATCCCCATCCCCCCAGAATATCAAATGATCGTCAGACAGGGAACATCCAATCAACATTTCGCCTGAATATATATATTGTATGATATTTTTGGTTAAAATGAAATGTATAAAGTATGGCCCTTTTAAAGGACGTCCCAAGTATAGTATAGCCCTTTTAAAAGACGTCCCGAATATAGTATAGCCCTTTTAAAAGACGTCCCAAATATAGTATAGCCCTTTTAAAAAGGATGGACAGATTTGTCCAAAAATTTTACTTGCATAACTTGTTTTTACCTGTTTTATTTAAAGTAAAGCTTCATGTTGTTGATCATCTATTTCAAGGTTACAAAAATAATGATAAAATAAACCAACCATATGCATGACACCAGTTCAACTATTATGAACATTTATCAATTATAAATAGTGGTATGCTCTACATCATCCACCAGGGAAAATTTACTTGGAATGGATAATGAGGAATTTCCATCATGCAAAGGACAAAACGTTACATAATACAAAAATAGAAATTATCAGTTAGATAAAAATGTCACCCTTCCACTATACTGAACATGAACAAACCTGTTCGCTGTACGACAAGGTACATATATTATGATGGTTTTGAACTACCTATACATAATAATAAAACATGAATTATATTTGTACAATATTTGACAAAAGATATAACAAGTACCAACAGGTAGGCAATAAACACTTGAGATACTTAGTAGACATATCAATAAAAGATGATATGATGTAACAATAGTTTCTTTCAGTATGCTATGTGCTTGAAAATAATCATTAGATCTCTAAAAAGGCCTGTGAAGACTTTTTTTTTAAATTTCTGGTATAATGTACGGCATAATCCAGTATCAATTTGAACTGAAACATTAAAACGTCTTATCTTTTCCGCTATAAATGAAGTTGACTGATTAAAAAAAAAAATTAAAAAAACCCAAAAACAGTGATATGAAGAATTATATTTGAATTAAAGTAAAATAAAGTTTAAATATTGATTTTTGTTAAACTTCACTATTTTCAATTGACCTTTGGTAATGTGGCTGCATTATCTACATTTTAAATTAGACATAAATAATATCAAATACATTGCCTCGATATTATTTTGAGATATAATTGGGAAGTGGAAGGTGCTTGTGAAATGTATTGACCACTGTATATATGGAAGAGCAATTAGACATTCTAAGATATATCATAAACTTTGATGTAGAAATATTTATCTATAACTGCAATGATTTTAACTGATTTTTTTTTATATAAACAATTAGCAAATGCTATGCACAAACATCAAAATGATTGATTATTTTCAATATTGTTGACATGCTGATGATGACAACACAATGTGTACTTCGAGTATAGATAATAAACAATGTATAAAGCCAGAAGTCCATTTCTGTAGCTGATAAAGCGGATAACCGAAAAAAAAACCAATTCAATTAGGATTCATCCCAAATACAGATGATACTACCATCTTTCAAATCCACTATGGAATTCTTTAATTTCCGGACTTCATTTTGGTTAATGATTGTATTGATGTCCCACTGGGTTTGTGTATTTTCTTGTTATATTTACAGTTATTTATCATTTACTTTCTATGGTCATTCTGAAGCTAATGACAGAAGTTAACCATTATCAAAACTTATTTTCGAATGAGTAACATAAAAAAACTTAAAGGATACAGTGATAACTTATCGTCCTTTTTGCTGTGTCCTTATTTATTTACAACTTAAACGTATTTGCTGAAAAAAAGAATTGCGATAGGACATTGTTAGTTCCCGTCGTAATACCACACTCACTTGACCATTTACTATATTTCCAAAATAAATAGCAATATTATCAAGGAACAAGAAATATCTTTAAACATTCCTTTGTGTATATTCAATTAGTGTATTTGTTTTCGTAAGTTTTATTACTAAAAATGTATTGGAAGGACTACGACAGATACAGTTATACCCAGAGTAATCATGATGCTATTTCACGAAATGCGAAAGTTCTGTTTGAAAAAATACAGTACATGTGTTTTACATATAGATATAGTTGATATGTGACAACTGTAATCTGAGAAAACTGACCTCGTAAGAATCGTGGCTAATCCAGAACTTTCAAAGAATTGTCAATTCCAGAAATAGTTTAAACCGCTATTAAAATAAACCCTGACACAATATTTGATAACGAGTTCCTTAATCATCAGTTAACGAGCATTTATCAGAAGAACAGAATATTATTAGTTGAACAATTTCAGGATGCAGATAAAAAAACAACATGTAAGGTGCATTGCCAGCTGGTACACACACACAATTCTTTCCGAGATGCACTTAATTTGTTTTCAGTATCGATATTTTAAGCGGATGATTTTGCATGGAGTTACTTTTTCAATACTAAATTCGATTATCAACCACTTTCATGCATTTCTTATAGAAAACAATCAATGGTTTTTTATCAGCTTTTTCCACTTCTGCAAGGAGATTTGTTAAGGTCACCTGTATCAACATGGCCACAACGATTATAATATCTAAACCTCGAATTTCACACTTTCAAGAACTGAGCGTGTCTTTTTTGTATATCAACGTCAGCACTGACAGATGTACGTGTAATTAGAAACTTATAATTTTTGCGAGGCTTTATAAGGGTAAGGAATTGGTAATTTATTATTATTATCACAGTATGGAAGCACATAATTATATTGTATAAGAACACGGAATACAGGTTAGGGGAAATGGGAATTGATTATGTATTCTATCAGAAATATGAAATGTCGTTATTCTATTCATGTTATTACTTCTGACATTAAAACTAACCGTTATATAAAACACTTTAATAACAATAAAACGCAAGAAAACCAATAAAATCAGTCTGTAAATATTACATTGATTTATACATTTTCCACATCGTTATCTAAGCTAAATTCGTCTCATGCGAATGTATCTTTCTTTTGATTTAGATACCGCATTGACATTGTAATATATAGTTTTAAATATCTCAAATCATATTTCACAATGATCTAAACAAAAAAATGATAAACTACTAGTAACCTTAGTAATTATAACAGCTACTAAGTGTCACATGACTTATCCAGTAAAGATGACAAATGCCACATGACTTATCCAGTAAAGATGACAACTGCCACATGATTTATCTAGTAAAGACTTAGATGACAACTGCCACATGACTTATCCAGTAAAGATGACAAGTGCCACATGCCTTATTCAGTCAAGATGACAATGGCCAAATAAACAAAACATGTAAAGTCAAGAGATCAACCAGATCATGTCAGCCTAAACTATCGAGATCACTATCATTTGTATTGTGCTCTACTCCTGCACCAAATTTCAATGACAGAAAATTAACATTTTCCAAAGGAGGTGTGGGATGTACGTCAATGAGACAGCAAACAGACGACACAGAACTATAATAGAAATCTTTAAAACTAAGGGATGCTGTCTCACAGGTCTTCTGGATTTTCCAAATATGACTTTTACAAATATTCTTAGTTTTTTTTCAATATTCTTTAACTGTTATTTACCATTATAAATTATTTCTGTTTCACAAATGTATATCTAAGTAACAATATGATAAAGATAATAATAATGTGTAAAAGCCTATGCAAAGTTAAACTTGTTAACAATGTTTCAAAGAATGTAAAAAAGGAGATGTGGGGCATGCGTCGTATTGAGAAAGTAGAGGTCATAATATAGACGAGATTTAGCGTTAAACAATACTTCAAGCCCTTTATCGCCCTGAAAAGCATCGAATTGTTCAACAATTTTTTTCACAAAATTGTCATAACACCATGAAATTCCTCAAAGAACAAAACATATGAATAAAATGCATATATTATGGTAAATGGGTTATGACTGAAACCAGAAACTGGAATGATACTTTTATAAAATAGAATAAGTTAGAAGGCGTTTTAGTCTGAGATGATAATGTACAAATCACGATTCTTGGAACTGAT